TTGTTCCAGCAGCTCCACTGCACTCCCAGAGAAAGTATTTACTCTGAACAGGGTTGTTCCCTGACAGCATCCACCACCCCCCCCCTCAGTCCTGGCAGTCAGAGGAGTGAGACAGATGACAAGAGAAGCAAGGGGACAGCTGAGAGGTGAGTGGTAAAACTGCAGATAGATTTATTTCAGGATGCAGCTGGAATTCTACCTTATATCTAGCCCTGTGCTTTGTGTCTGACACTGCAGCATGTGGGGACAGATGTAAAATGTGGCTCTGTTTTGAGCCTGGGAATAGCAGGATCTCCCTTGAACAGCCATGTTTTAATTTGCATTTCTAGGGCTCTGGCAGAAATCTGGGTCCTGGGGTGTGCTCAGCAGCAAATGCCATGAGTTTCTACACTGTTGACCTGCTGGGGCAATCTGGGCATCTGGCAGACCTGGTAGCTCTCCTGGGGTTAATGCAGCAGGGCTGGTCACAAGCAGTGGCTTGGGAACTGGGCAGTGGACCAGCTGGTGGGATTTTTTTATAGGGTTTTGGTCTATTAATCCATATTTCAGCTTGGCTTGACTTCTTCAGTGCTGCTGGTTGAACAGGCTGCGAGACAGGATTAAATGTCACTGTGCAAGCAAAGGGGTAATGGCTGGAGAAAGGAAGGGAGGGCAAAAGCAGAATGGAGGTGGCAGAGAGCAGCAGGGCTGGAGGAGTCCCATGCAGACCCTGCCCTAAGAAACACAATCCCCAGTAGCCTGAAGATGAATTGCTCCTAGAGAAGATAAAAGGAAGGAGCTGCAGCCTCTTTTCACTCCTTAGTAGAGCTGTGATGCTCGCGTGGCAGCGAGGGCAGATGCCTGCAAGGTGCTGTCACCTTTGCACCAAAAGGTGTCTCAGTGCTCCTGCAATGCTGTGGAGGAGCCACAGCCTCACTGCTGCCCTGTGCTGCAGGAACAGCCTGCCTCTCAGCAGAGATGGGGCTCCTGGGGTTGGGGCCATCTGGACAAGCAGGAGGATGCAGGGCTTGCTCCCTGAAACATGTCAGCTCAGGGTGGGAGAAGCAAATCCTGTTTTATGGAGACACAGGTGCCTTCATCGATGGAAGGAGACTTTGCTAGAAGTGGTTATCAAGCCCTGCTTTCTGGTTTCAAGCATAAGATACCTGATGATACGAGGTCTTGGTGGTGGAGAGAGCAGAGGGTGCCTTTGCAGAGAGCAGATGCTCGTGGGCAACTTGCCTGGTCCCCACACAGGCAGTGGTTGCCTGCTTTGCCTGCCCATTGCAGACTGAGCTGGGCTGGCACGAGGCTGGTTCCCTGCAGACTGGTTGTTTGCATGCCTGCTTGGCTGCCTGGGCCTCATGTTGGCTGGTGTGATGCAAGATATTGTGATGAAACATGAAAAAATCTTTCCACAGCTCATCAAAGTGCAGCCAAACCACCTGCCCATGCTCTGTGACTTGGTCATATCTAGGGCATCAGGGGGTTCTGCATCTCAGGAGATGCAGGCACCACGTCCCAGTCAGAAAAACCCGGTGTGGCTCTTTTGTCACATGGAGGTTTGAGTGCCTTCCCCAGGCATCAGGAGAGGCTGCAATGGCAATGGCTTTGCAGCTGAACAAGATGACTCAGGGATGCTCCATGAGGCTCCAGCAGCCCTGTGAGCTCACCTGGTGGGGGCTTCGTGGAGCAGCAGGGCAAGGTTCCTCTGCAAAAGGGGATTCTGGCATTTTCCAGGCTCTCCAGCAGCAGGCACAGGCAGGAGTGTCTCCTAAGAGCTTCTCCAGCACTGATCTTTCAGCTCTGAGTCAGACAGAGGAGCTCTGCAGGCTGAATCACAGAGCGTGTGCCTGACAACCTGCTCACCCAGCTGTGGGTCCCACTGGCCTTCGGTCACTTCAACCAAACCATCCAAGTGAACACAGAGTCTGTGTTTTCTAAATGAAACCTGCTGCTCCTTCCCTTCAGCCCATAGCACCTCCAGCTGTCCCCACGTGCCTGCTGAGTGCAAGGACTGTCACGGGCGAGTGACCCTGGCCCGTGGGTCTCATCCCCTGGGAGCACCAGCTGCTGTCGGGAGGACCAAGTGGCCTGAGTTCCTGGTCTGCTCCCTGTGATGCCACCTCTGTCTTGTGTGGGGATGAGCAGAGCAGCTTCTCCTCACCCTTTCTGCAGTGATGCTCTATCACTCGCTGTGCCTACCTGGGTGCTGACCCTGCAGATCGAGCCAAGGATGGATGAACTTCTCTCTTCTCAGCCAGAAGCTCTGCAGAGGCAGCTGCATGGCCCTGCCAGTGGAGAGCACCTCTTGTTTTGCAGGAATTCGAAAGCCAGATGATTTCTCAGTGTGCCCAGCCAAGATAATCCCAAATAATCTTGTTTGCATTTTAATTTCCTAGGCCTGTTGGGAAGAGCTGATACACCCCTGTGCTCCCCCTCTGTGGGCGGCGTGTGCCTGCAAACGTGCTCATTGGAGGGTAGCACTAGCAGCAGTTGGGCTTACCCTGGCTGCCACTCTGTCTGCCAGAAGCAGTGGGATCAAAGGCACATCAAGGGTTCCAGGGACAGCTCCAGGGTGGCTGGGACAGTGTTGGTGCTGTGACTGTGAAGGTTGACCCACCAGCCGGAAGGCGCAGAGGGACGCTTGGCTTGTCATCTTGGTGTCCCTCGCGGAGGCTGGATAAGAGCGTGGCAGCTTCCTGCCCTCTCCCTGGAGAGCCTTTCCTGTGTTGAGAAAGTGCCCGGCTCTGTCTGGTTGTTTTTCCCAGCTGGTGGAGCTGAGTCATTGCTGTTCTTCAAGGAGAAGGTTCGTTTGCCCCTAAACGGTCTCTCTCCCGGCGCGGCGAAGCCTGTGTCCCCCTCGAGACTGCTGTGATTTTTTTCCTGTGAATCTGTGGATTTCTTTAGCTGAGGACTTCATTTGCCATTCGTGGATCCCTGTTCCATAAAAACAACCATTTCTCTCCACGGATATGCTGTTGGGAGGCTGTTACACCTTTGCTCGTGGATCAGTCTGGTACACGTGTGAGAGACTCCACGCGGCTGAGGGTGGCAATAAACCCACCTTGGCTTCCCTGCCAGAGAAACAGACACTCCTTGAGGCCTCAAGTCACCCCGTGGGCTCCCCAAAGTTCAGGCTATGTGCAGAGGAAGCATCTTTGCTCTTAGAGGAGCAGGCAAGCAGATAAAAGCAGTGTAGAGTGTGACCCCATCCCAGCCCGAGCACACCACATTCCTCAGCAATCCTGCCTTGCTAGCTGGGTGCAAACATCCCTGCTCCTGACCTGGCAATGCTCTGGGATGTTATTTGTCCTTCATGCCACGGTCTGAGAAAGCCTCTCATCTATTTAATTTCTTGCTTGCATCCCCATATGTACTTTCCCAAACGTGTGGGGCCAGCATGTCTCTCCACCCCTCTACCCAGTGAGGGGAACAGCTACTTCTTACCAGTTTGAGCCAGTGTCACCCACTGGTGGTTGGCTCTGGTGTAGGGTCCTACAAGTGTGCCCCTGCCAGCTTCTCTTTTCTCCACCCTGCCTGCCTGTCTTGGGTCTCTTTCCTTACTCTGGAAAGCTGTGGAAATAATCAAGTGTTGACAACAATTTTCTGCAGAGCCCGTTTCCTCCAAGAGCTGATTAAAGATGAACAGGAGAGAATCTAATTGCACCCAGGCTTTTATCTCCTACCCAGGCATCATGGTTTGCCTGGAGAGCAAGAAAATCCTGAGGTCTGTGAGGGTTAAAGAAACTCTTCTAATCTCCATGGTTAAACAGCAGCTCTCACTGTGCTGATAGCACTGTTGGTGTCAGGAGAGTGGGACCAGGGGTGAATGTGGCCTGGCTTGTGTCGAGCAGGTGAGGAGTGATGGGCAAGGGTCTGCTCAGCAGCCACCAGGGAGGGCACTGGGAGAGATGGGGGTCTCACCACGCACCCACAATCAGCCCCACCCAGGAGGGTGGAGGCTGCTGAACACCCCAGGGGGGTGAGATGTCTCCTGTGATGCACAAGGACAAACCCTTGTGTTTTCCTCACTAACTTCTGTCTTTGTCTCCTCTATTTTCTAAGCAAGTCTCTATGGAAACAGGTACTGCTTGTGCTAAAGCCTCTGTTTTTCTCTTTGCTTTGCTGCTGTCGAGGAAGAAGGGGGGGAAGAGACCTGCAAAGGGCAGGTGAGGTTTAGGCAAGGAGAGACATTTCAGCTGTCTTGGCCCTTGGCACAGACAGGAGCTGCCTCAGCATCCCTTGGTCCTGCCTTAGCTGGTGAGGGATGGAGGCTGAGACCAACCAGCCTCCTTGGCAGGCTGAGTTTTGGTAAGGACTCCACACCTGGCTTTACACAGCCCTCCCTCCTGTCTCAGCTGGATGGAGGGGAGCACTCTGGTGTTGAATGGGAGGGAAATAACTCTTGCCCAGTGGCAATACCCTGGATTTCATGTCTCCCCATGGAGCTACCAGCCCTGGTGGCTCTTCTTGACGGTCACCCAGAGCTCGTCCTGACAGCACCCACTGTGACACTGCTGTGGGGTCCACGTGAGCCACCTCCACACTAGCTGAGGTGTGTGTGGGGGGAGCAGGAACTGCGGGGTGTGACGTGAAGGGGCTGGAAACCACCAGGAGACAGAAGGATGCACAAGCCCCTGCCTTCGTGGGACGCGGAAGCCTCGTCATCCCGCAGAGCTTCCTGCCCGCAAGTTCCTCCCCAGGCTCCTCAGCTCTCTAACTTGTTTATTCATTTTGGGGAGGGAGGGGGATGTTTTAAGAGCTGAGATAAGAGTGTTTGAAAGGAAGGGATTCAGTGCCAGATTGGCACCCTCGGCACCAGACTGGAGTGGCTCAGAGCTGCGGGAGGGAGCTGTGTTTGTCAGCTCCTTCTGCTGCAAGTCACCCCTGATATTCAGCAACCCTGGGCCTTCCCAGGGGCTGTGCTGGCCCCTCACTCAATCCAAAGCAACCTGCAGTTGGTTAACACTCAGATCCTGGGTTTTTTTAGGACGCTCTAATGTGTGTCTGTTTTCCAGCCTGCCAGAGTGAACTGATTCCTGAATCAGATGCCCTTTTACACAAGGATCAGACCATGGTGGCGCCTGGCCCTCTGGATCTACAAGGAGTTGGTGTCTTCTCTCTACTGGCCTTGCTGCCCATCACACTGCCCAGAGGCTCCTTGGCTCACAGAGGATTGAAGGATGTGCTGTAAGAGCTCTCTCTCCCCATCCATGCTTTTCTCTGTGTTCCACCAAAACCAGCCAGGTGTAGCCACCCCGCAGGTAGGGCTTGCACTGGGTAAAATCCATCTCACCTGTTCCCCCACCTGCTCTGTCAGCAGGCACAGCCCAGGGGCTGCTCTACTTGGATTGGAAATGGCAAGCTCCAGTTCTCCAAGGGCAGGAAGCATGGAAAAACATCCCTTCCCACTGCTGTTTCTGGGAGAATTGCTTTAAGAACAGGGACTCAGACTGTGATGCTAATGGTGCTTCTTTCCAAAAGGAGTCTTTGTGGTTCTGCTAGAATTACAGTGCATGATTACTGGGGTTGAAACACTGGTTAATTACCTAGTCATTTGTTGTAATGCTCCCAATTAGCTTGTGAAAGCCTAGCAAATCCATTCCTTCACACCTGTTTTTAATGTCTTCTACAGCGTTATTCATAGACAGCAGAAGATAAACAGTGGTGCTGTTGATATTAGGGTGGTACAGCACCTTCCTGCTTCTTTGGCTGTCCTTTCTTGGCCTGGGCAAGAAAAGAATTCATACATGAGGTGAGGTAAGCAGCTTGATGTGATTCATTTCATCACCTTGAATGAGATTCAGTCAAGGATAACTTTAGTGGGAGGCACAGGAGCAGGTGAAAGCCCCTGGCTTTGCCAGCGGAGCGGGAGGGTTCAGCCCACTGGGGTAACTGGTGGAAAGGAGGCCCTGCAACACCCCCCACTTTTCCAAGCTTTGTTGAGCTTAGTTATGCTGGCCTCTCGGTGTCAGGGAGTAGAGGAAGGGTTTTCATGCCTTCACCCAGCCCTGCTTCTCCTGGTGCTCTGCCTGATTCCGTGCCCACGAGAAGGCGCGCGGCAAGGCAATGTTTGCCCACCCGGGGGCCTGTTTGCCCACACAACACATTTGTACATCTGGCTTGGCAGATTGGTGCACATGCAAAAATGGGCAAGAAACCACCCGGGCCCGGATGGCAAATTGGGTCTGCTTTTCTTTCCTTTCCTTTCTTTTTTTTGTGAAGGTGCTGCTCACAGGAAACCTGGTGACAGCTCTGGTGAAACGTGCCCCCTCAGGAGAGCTTTGGCTCCCAGGTATTGCACTCCAAGAGTCTCCTTTTTGTCTCTGCATTGGGTGCACTAAAGTATTTGTCAGCTTTTTATCCATAAACCTTCCTGATCACCCCTTTTCTGAAGCTGGTGGCACAAAGCATCCCCCTCCTGCAAGGCCTTTAGTCCCTTCCCCACGCTGCCCCAAGGCAAGTTGCCCTGCCAGCACAAGACATCATGTTCATGTGATGATGCTCTAAGGGACAGTGATTTAAAGCAAGCTGCCCAGCCCAGGCAACTTGCCCTTACAGATGCCAGGAGGTAGATTTCAGCTGCCAATAACTTGCCTGTGTGTCTGGACCCCAATAAGAATTCAGTCTACACCAGAGCATCTCCTCACTGAGTGCCAATGGCTGGTGCTGTGTCCAGCGACAAAGCCGCAGCAGGGCCAGCTCTGGCTGAAAGGTGTTTCCATACCTGGATTTCTTGACTTACTCCATCTCACATTTCCCCTTCTCTTAAGCAGAGCTCTGTGCTCAACTGTCTGGAATGGCTGAGACAACACATGGTTCTTTTGGTGCAGCTCCCTGTCCAATTTCCCTGCTTTAGCAAAGACACGTCGGAAAGATTATCCAGCACTGGGTGATGGTTTTTTAACTACAATGGCCATGAAAGTCTCCATTATTGAACTCCAAGCTGCTTAGTGATCAAGTGGGTGGAGAAGGAAGCCACATTTCCTGCTCAAAGAGTGTGTGGGAAAAGCTTTTCAAATGTTAATTTCTCATATTTTTCAAAAAACTACCCAAAGGCACTGGTGGTCCAGGGGATGCTCAGGAGTCTCTGCATATTCAAACCAAGTAGGTATTTAAAAGTCTGAGGATATTTGGAAGGGGGGGGGAGGGAAGATAAGAAGGAGCTCCAGGAAAAAAACCCTCCACCATTTCCCTCACTTCAAAGTTAAAACTAGATGTGTATGTTTCCCTCTTCTCTGATGTACCTCTCTCCAGGGAAATAGGTGATGAAGGCTTGGAGGGAGCAGGATGAGCCAAGGGGTTCCCCTCCAGCAATGCTAATTAGCATCCCTGTCCCAAATCCTTCACCCCCTGGGCACCCAGCACCAAACCAAACCAGCTGGTACCCAGTAAAATCACCAGGCAGGGCTGGTGGGGGCTGGTTTCAGACAAGTGCCCAAGAGATACATCCAGCTGCACACCAGCCCTGCTGTTTTGCATCCAAGGCAATCTGGTTCCCCACGATTAAATAGTCCCACTGTCAAATTCATTGGCTTCAGGACTTTATTCTTGATAAAAAAACCTTTCCACAGGAGCTGGGCAGGAATTATGCAGCTAATTGGCTGCTGTTAATACACATTCTTGGGTTTTCTGTTGTAGCTTTTGCTTTAAATGTAGGGAGAAAAAAATAATTTAAAAATTGTGTGATTTTTAATGCATATTTGAGAGAGAAGGGAAAAAAAAACAACCCCAAAAATCTCTTGGGTCTGTATCCACCACAAGTTTTAAAGTGCAGAATCTGTGTCTGTTATTGAATAAGAAATGCATGCTGACTGCCAAGTTTCAGCTTGCAAGCAGCCAGAAGCTAACTGGGGGGGGTGGTGGTGGGGGGAAATAATTAATGTTTTGCAAATACCTTTTGTAATAGTAAAAATGAAAAGCAAGCAAGGAAAAAAAAAAACAGAAGAAAATAAATATATGGGGTTTTGTATAACTCTGAGCCCAAAAGTCACAGCTAAGCTGAACAATCTCTTGAAAACATAAATTTTACAGTTTGCATCTTATTCCTCATAGCCAGGCAGTTTTATAACCAATATCTCTTCATCCCAAGTGCTCAAGCAAGAACAGAAAATGCCTCAAGCCTGGCAGAAAATGTGGTGAGGAGATATGGATCCTGCTGTCACCGAGTACAAATTCCCTCTCTTGTAAGGGCTTAGTTAACTCTTCTTTTGGCCAGCCCTGGAACATGGATGTCTTTTCTTGGTCCAAAAGTTGTCACCATGGGAAGGAGACATGCAGTTCCCAACAGAATCATCTGATGATGATTCTGATGATGATGATGATGGTTGGGCTGGGTGAGATTTCCAGGTCCCTACCAACCCCTAGGATTCTGTGATTCTGTGGTTCTTCCCTTTATTTTTTTTTATACAGTAACTTTTGCTTCCTGCTTGGTTTTCCCTTGGCCAAGCAGCCTTGGGAAGAGATGAGGACGTTCAGGGAAACCCCTCTTTGTTCAGTTCTCCACAGTCAAGAAGCACAAGAAGAGGTTTTTTCCCCTGAAGGATAAGAAGCCTGCAGTAAATTGAAGGAAGATGGAGTTACCTCAGCTGGGCTGTGACCCTGATCTCTGCTCACAACCAGGTGAGCATCCTTTTGCAGCTCAGTGAGCCTGACCTCCCTGTCAGGCAAGGTGGTTCAGGAGCTGCACAGCTCCCTCATGGCCAACTGATGGTGTCCATGGGTGACATCTCCCCAATTCAGAGTCAGCAAAGGTCAGGACTCTGGGGATCAGCAGGTACTCCTTCCTGCCACAGCACCCTGGTGCTGATACACCCCCTTTGCCTTGGGACCCCCTCTCCTTGGGAGCCCCTCCTGGCTTTGTCCTCCCCACCCTGCTCCTCACCACTTGGTGCACACACACAAAAAGTCTTCATGCTGCACAAAGCAAAGGAAACCATGGGGAAAACCTCTTCAGAACACACTTTTTTTCCCCCCTACAGATCAAGAATGGAATGATCTAGTAGAAAGCAGAACCAATCCTAAGACCAGGCACTCATAATACTTGGTGCCTGGTTTGTATGACTGTTGCTAATACTCCCAAATAAATACTTCTGGGACTAAAGCCTGGGAAAAGAAAACACAAAGAAAGAGGGTGTCACGTGAAACGAGATGGTTTTGGTACTTGTTTTGTATTTCTAAACACAAATTCTGCCTCTCAGGCTGTGTAATGTGCTTCATCTAAAAGCCTTTTAGTCTCTCACTAGGTACATAGGAGTCTGTTTTCTGTCCTCATCCCATCCTTTCATCCTTCTTCACTAACCAACCAAGAAGTACTTCTCCTCCTCCCTGGACAGCCTCTCCATGTTTTGCTGAGGATCTAGAGGTACAAAGTCTTAAATTCCAGAAATAATTGCCATTTCATTCCATGTGATGCAACTCTGGAAATGGGATATTTTTGCATGACAGCAAACAATAAAACCCCATCCAGAAAGAAACAAACCAAACAACAAAACCTGTTGGCGTCATCAGAACCTAAAAATAGCAGGAAAATGACTGGTGGTGCCAGGATGCTGCCAAAAAATAATCTATTACTGTATTAGCTTCTTTCCAATTGTTGTTCTTAGGAATATATTTCACTTTTCCCCTCAGGATTTGTTTGGAGCCAAGGTATTCTGCCTGCCAGTGCCATCCCAGCTCTCAAATTAACCAGAAGTGATGTCTCTTACAGTAAAAACCAATATCTATTAAAATATTGATGAAGGCAAAGAAGCTGAGGAGTTTGTGGTGTCTGGTTTCCAGCTGGCAGTGGGGGGATAACTTGGAATGGAGGGGAGAGCTGCACAGCCTCACCCTGCTGCCACAGCCAGGATGAGCCTCCCATTCCCAGGGATGGACCTGATGTCCCAGGAGCAAGCAGGAGAATCCTGATGCCAGGTACTGATGCAGCCCATGGTGTGTCTGGAGCAGTGAGGCCTCTTTCCTCTCTGCTTTTCCTCCACTGCCAGATCAGCACTTTTCTTCCTGGTGTGGGCTGAGAGGCCCTGCTTGCTGGGGTTTTGCTGTCCATTCATTTCAAGGGTTTCATCTTTTATTTATTCCTCTATTTATTTCCCCCAGCTTATGCTCTAATTAAGCTCCTATCAAGCTCATTTCATTGTAGCTCAACATCCTGGCAACCATGGGAGCTGTGATGGAGAAGAGACTTCATCCAAC